CTGGATTTGTGGACGTTCCTTTAGAGTCGGTAATCATAGGTGGACCTTCAGCTTCCCGTTTTACAGGCTTCCTGCCCCAAGCTGGAGGTGAGTGAGGATCACGTAGTGGTCACTTTTGCGCAGGCCGGAGTTATTGGCAGAAGTTGTATCTTTTGGCATTTCGGTAACTTCACAGAAAACCCTCATACTGGTCCATGACCTTCCCAGCGGGAGCCGAGCAGAACTATACACTCGTGTGGAAATGTCTCGTCTTGGCCGGGTCGTCATCACAGTCAGATTTTTCTCACTCTTACCTACATAGTCTGTAAGGGTTACACAGAAACTTTTTTTTTCCCGAAAAGTGATGCTGAAGAAGACCGAGCCGTCCATGGAGTTTGCCCGTTTTTTTGTGTGCGTTTGTTTTTTTTTTTTGGGGGGGGGGGGGGTTGTTTTTCTTTTGTTTTCACTATGAATAATGATACATTGTACAAAGTTAGATACTGGAGCTCTGCAACTAGATTTGGGCCCCAATCTCTGACAAGTCCTGGAGCTGATCTCAGCAGAGGAACCTCAGGGGACATTCCATCCTACGCTGGCAGATTCCAGGCATTAGCTAAGCCGAAGTATCCAGGAGGATAAGACGACTAAGGAAAGGTCTGAAAAGTCGTTTTTTTTTGTAGTCTGTGTTTAAAAATCAACTCAATTCAATTCTGAGGGCCTTCCATTCACCGGTTCTTGGACAATGCAGATTGAAGGGAGTCCTTGGTGAACACAATTCCTGGGATTTCCTGAAGGGATTTCTTTAGGAGATAGAATGTGTTGAGGCCTTCATGATGATGATAGTTTCAATGTCCTTTAATTATTTGCCGGCAGAGCTCCGCCCCCGATGGAGGCCTGAGAACCTGAGAATGTGTTCACTCTTTAAGGCACGTTTTAAAAATGAAGAAGTGGACCAAACCATGCTTGTGTGCTTAGACATACGGGGAGTACCTTATATAGGGAGAGCCTACACTCCCATGGGGGATATTTGGTCCACTCTTTGGGGAACCCAGAGCTCCACAAATTAAATATCCTTCCTCTTCCATTCTTCCTATGAAGGATCTCTGTGCCAAACCTGTGTCCTTGGTCTCAATCCGGATCTGAATTTATTGGATTTTTTTGATTTGGCATCCATTTCATCCATGTTCATTTTCACTCCAAGGAAAGGATTTTACAGTTTACTTTTATAATCAGTGACATTTTTACCTTACCTTGCTGACTGCACAAACTGGCAGTGCTTTTTAACCTTAGTTTTGGTGGCACTGATGTCTCCCAAAGGGACTTTCAGTTGTGCAGCTAATCCACAATTTTTAAAAACTCATGGCTGCCGCTGACCCTGCATATTATTTTAATTCTGAGTTTTTAAGGTAGCAATTGATTTCACTTTTTTCTATGACTTTTTGGGTGCCCAAAAGAGTTCAAGCGGAACCTCCTAACCTTTAAAAGGGGGACTATTTTTTTGGTTTTTAATGTTTTGCAAAACAACTCCATATTAATTAACATAATTGCACCTTTGGGGGGTGTGGGGGTGGAGCGAGTATATCCAAATTTGACATGTAACCACTCCACCTAAAAACTGTATTTTTTCACCTAGGCGATCGTAAGCCAGAATTTATTAATTATTTTTCCCGTATTTTCCCCCCTGGAACACGACGGGTCCCACCAAAAAGTGTTTTTTACTTAAATGTCCATTCACCAATTTACAGGTCCCACAAAACTAAATACGTGGCCATTCACACGACAGGTGTCCACAAAAAATAACCCACCATCTTCACAAATATTGCAAACGGCTTCTCCCCCATGGGCAGGGGGGCACCCGTCTGTAACAAGCCACAATTACTGTCCCCGCCAGGGGGGGCCACCTTTGAAGATGACATTTTTTGTACAGTTACCCATTTGTGCAGATTTTTGTGCAGTATTTTGTGCAGTTTTTGTTAATTTTTGTGCAGTAACATATACCGAAAAATAACATTTTGATGCAGTTTTTTTCATTTATAAATTCTTGTATAGTTTTGTGAAAGTTTTTGAGTATTTTGTGCTAGTTTTTTTTGTATAGTTTTGGTTAAGTTTTTGTATAGTTTTGAGGTATACCCCACTTTTACCAAGTTACAGTATACCATTTTTGTATAGTTTTTTGTATATTTTAATGGCACCACCCCCCGCATTAAAAAATTTAGTTTTTGTTTGTATAACTTTTGTTCCTAAATTTTTTATAGTTTTTGTATAAGTTTTTTCCTATAGTTTTGTGCATCTTTGTAAGTGTTTAGAAAAATAGTGAACAAATACGCATAATTTTTTATATTTTTTTGTATAGTTTTACTTATTTTTTTGTATAGTTCTTTTATAGTTTTTGCGCATTTTTTTCCCCTAATAGTGGTTTTTTTTTTTTTTTTACATTTTTTGTATCTAGTTTTTTAGTTTTTGCAATACTTGTTTTATAGTTTTACGCATCTTTTTTCAGTTTTTGGAAATTTTTTTGTTCCGTATATTTCTTGCATTTTTTTTAAAAAATTATTTAATTCTCTTATTTGATTTTTTTCTGATCAATTTTTTTTTTACCTTTTTTTTATTTTTATTTTACAAATTTTGGCACAACATTTTGCAGCTGCTGCCAAAACTCATGTTTCTATTTTTAAAATCTGGACCTTTCTTTGATTTTTTCCCCGCTCAATTATGTGTTTCTTTCTGAATTCAGAATTTTTTTTGCCCGCCATGCATTTTTTTTTTTTTCAACACTTTACATTCTAGATGTTTTGCAGGACAAGGTTTTTTTTTTCTCAGCTTTTCATATTTGTCCCACCCCTTAAACAATCTTTATTTTTAATCCCGCAGTTTCAATCTTTTTCTTTGTTTTTTCTTTTTTATTTTTTTTCCTTACAAGGTTTCCCCTACAGTGAGGCATTCATCCCTTTTTATTGCCGCTCGCACTTTTCTTTTTGTCTGTTTTATTTAATTTCTTTAGTTTATTTGCTGTTGGATTTCTCATGTGATAATCTTTTCTTTTCCTTCTGTTCTCCATTGCAGGTAACTTGATTAATTAAAATAAATCTTAAAATGGGGTGGGGGCAGGCGAGATTTTTTTTCTTTTTCCACAAAAAAGCATACGGGTTTCCTGAGCTTAATATTATTTGGACCCTTTATTATTTTTATCCAGTCTATTTTTTTCTGCCCTTAAACCTATTTAAATTTTTCCCCTTGGCTTTCTAAGCTATTCCATACTGGAAACCTGCGAGGATTTTAATCGGGAGTTTTTAGTTTTTGTTAGCTCACCGTGTACGGGTCAGTACCATGGCAAATCCCGGGCAAATTTCCACCTTTTTTCAAAAGATTTTTTTTCCCGCTATTTAAACTGCAAGGGGGGGTAAAATTTTTTTTAGCCTCGTCCTTTCGGGGCATATTTTCTTTTTAATAGCTGGCACCAAAGTGATTACAGAAAAACCTCCCCTTTTCTAATTTTTTCCGAAGCTCACCATAATTACCCCCGTGCTTTTAATTCCACTTCAAAATTTTTTTTTTTAAACTCTGGAAGTCCTAAAACAAACCAAAATTTCCTGTACACTAAACTTTTTCAGAACCTTTTTTCCTTATAAATTTCCTGTTCAATTAAAACTCTACATAAAATAATTTTTTTCAAAATTCAAAACGCCTTATTAATTTAACACTAACTAAAATTAATAAATTAATTTATATTATATTTATACAACACACACACATATATATATACACAACATATTATATATATATCAATACACACATTCACACACATATATCTTCTTTTAAAACACCATATATTATATATTAACAACACACCACACAAATATATATATAAACACACACAAATTACCATATATTTATACAAATATTCGCTTAATAACCACACACAATAATATAATAATAATTAATTTTTCAAATTTCCAACATAAAATTTAATATATTCAAACACAATAGATATATATAATAAACAAACACATTACAAATATTTATTATAATAAACACTGCGGGCCACATATAAATATTAAATACATAAACAATAATAATTAAAAACATAAAATATTTATATTCAGCACAATTTATTAACCTCACACATATTAAATATATATTTTTACACAACACATTTAACATAATATATATATACCACACACACAGCTATTTTAATATATAAACACACAATTTTACATATATACTAAAAAACTACAACAATATATATATAATATCCTACAAAAATACAATTATATTTTATTTTTAAATAAAATTATACCAATCAACTTTTTTTATAAATTTAAAAACACCTATTTTATAATATATATCAATATATATAAATACACAAATATAAATTATCAATATTTTTCAAATTAAAATAATTAAATAACAAACATATAAATCTCAATATATATATAAATATACACACACTTTGTCCTCTTCTATCTCCTCCCCTTAGTCCTCTATCTATCCTCCCACTTTGTCTCTCTCTCCTCCCCTTTAGTCTCCTCTCTCACTCTCTCTCTCTCCCTCTCTCACTCGCATCTCTCCCCTCTCCCCCCCTCCCCCATCTCTCTCTCTCTCTCTCTCCCCCTCTCTCTCGCCATTCTGTCTCTTTCTCCTCCCCTCCCCCTTTGTGTGTCCTTATCTCCCCCTTGTGGGGTAGAGAGGTGCGAGCTGTCTCTCTCTTAGCTCACTCTCACTCCCCTCCATCTACCTGCACCCTTTTCTTCCCCGCACATTGTACGTAGAACTGATTCAGTTTGGGTTCTCCGGCACTAAAACCTGGCTTCTCATTCATCAGATGTGTGAGCACAGCACCTTTTCCTGGGTTTATACTGCAAGCACTATGGTTCCTCCTCGATGTTTCTGGGTCCATCATCTGCTGACCGGTAAATGGCGGCACAGCCTGCAGGAACTGGACCTGACAATTCAGGGATACCACAGAGAGGATTTGGCGGGAGGCGTTGCATAAATCTCTCCATAGCAAGATGGTGCAACATGTCAATGACACTCATCCGTAAGCTGCCAGGCCCTCACTCACCTTGACCTGTCCTCCTGCCGCAACATTCCCCGAGGACTGAAACGTGTCTACCGTGGCAGGGAAGACATAGAGCTGTGTCTGAATGATCTGACCAAGAAACTGCAGGAGGCAGAAGAGCAGTGACACACTCGATGAATTCCGTCCATTGAATGAAAGAATCCAGTGGATCTCCTTCTGCTCATTCCCTGATCTTCACCAGCCTGAGTACTGGAGCAAGAGGACTACATTTCTAGAAAAGCAAGTGGCAAATGGTTTTTTTGATAAAAGATTTTATATCCTGTAATATGGAGGGTGTGGTTTACATATTGGAATGCCCTTGTGGCCTACAATACATAGGAAGAGCCAAAAGACCCCCATGGAAGAGGATATAAGAACATGTGCAAAAATATATTAAAAGCTTTAAAAAAACATGACTAACTTAGACATTTCCTTTTCCACCATAACAAGGATCCATCAGGGATGCAGTTTTAGGGGTGAAATGTTTTCCAAACATTGGAGGAATAATAACAAAACATAAGTGTTAAGCCAGTGAGAGTCCAAATGGATCCGTGAGCTACAAACTCTGGTGCTGGGAGGTCTGAATAAAGAATTTGATCTAAACTGTTTTATCGAGGAATTTAGATTGTAGTTTTTTTTTTTTTAGTTTAGGTTTTTATTGGTTTTGTTTATATAGGGGGAACATAGCTTTATTGTTTTTGATATGGACATTTTTAATAAAACATTTAGATTATAAGGGGTTCATTTTAATGTTTTGGGGGGGGGAGTGTAATTTAGGGTTTTGTTTAAACGCTTTATCTGCTCCACGATGAATATTAATTGTTTACCAGTTGCCAAGCAGTATAATGTATTGTGTTTTATATACAGCGGGTACAATATGTATTGAACTTGTCACCATTTTGCTCAGTAAATATATTTCTTTTACAAAGAATTTTATTGTAGATTGAGCAATGAGAATCAAACATTCGGAACATAGAATCCTTGACCAATACATAGAAAATTGTACTGTATGATTGAGAAATAATGTAACGTGTACATTGGAAAAAAAAAAAAAAAAAACTCAAAACATCAGCTATAACTTATAACAGAAATGCCCGGTAGAAGGGGTACGATTCACGGTCTTTGATGGTCAATGATAGTGTAGATTCTGAGAGAGAAAATTGCTACATCAAAAAATATTGGACAAGAGTATAATAAATTAATTAAACATCAACCACCTCCTTCCTAATATGATTACCCTATAACACAATCAACACCTTCCCCTGAAAGTGTACCAAACTATATACGTGACAGTGTTATTAAACAAATGCTCCAAAACAATAATACCCAATTTTGTGTAAGGTGAATCCACTACCAATATATAGTCCACTATAAATCTTATGCAAAAAAATGTCCCATATTCTTCCAACGATATTCCAAAACACAGTCCACCTCAAAAAAAGGAAAACTCATATAGTGCATTATCCTTTATAAAATTATATATTTAAACTTTATCTGTGCTTCCTATAGTGAAAATACGTGAAAAAATAGTGAAAAAAACGTGAACCACACGTGATCCGTGAAAAACCACTTCAGTGTACACAACACTCTTTCAGTGCCATATCACAGAAAATCCAATACTAAAAATGTGTACACTTCTAGATGCAGTAAGGGTACCCTTACCAACTTTCCCAATATAATAGGCTTTATAACAATCCAGGAACTTCTCAGGCTGATCCACTCCGGAACCTCTGCTGTGTCCCGCAGCCACCCCACTCTCTGGATTCCTCAGACACTCTGCTCACAGTGTCACCAAAAAAACATAGAGGACATAGTGTGATACCGCCAATGAAATTAATAATAAACACTTTATTTGTAACTGCTCACATTGCCAAAACTTAAACAACGCGTTAGAGGGAGTTCAGAAGGTGTAAGGATCTCACGGTCATCCAGGGAGACACGTCCCGTCGCTCCGCCTTGACGCGTTTCGTCATCGACTTAGTCACATGGCCCTTATGACTAAGTCGATGACGAAAACGTCTTAAGGCAGTGACGTTAAGACGTTTTCCCGGAAACCGGAAGTTACCTGGCGGCCATTTTAGATAAGGGAGAGATCGAGCAGGAGCGACGGGACGTGTCTCCCTGGATGACCGTGAGATCCTTACACCTTCTGAACTCCCTCTAACGCGTTGTTTAAGTTTTGGCAATGTGAGCAGTTACAAATAAAGTGTTTATTATTAATTTCATTGGCGGTATCACACTATGTCCTCTATGTTTTTTTGGTGACACTGTGAGCAGAGTGTCTGAGGAATCCAGAGAGTGGGGTGGCTGCGGGACACAGCAGAGGTTCCGGAGTGGATCAGCCTGAGAAGTTCCTGGATTGTTATAAAGCCTATTATATTGGGAAAGTTGGTAAGGGTACCCTTACTGCATCTAGAAGTGTACACATTTTTAGTATTGGATTTTCTGTGATATGGCACTGAAAGAGTGTTGTGTACACTGAAGTGGTTTTTCACGGATCACGTGTGGTTCACGTTTTTTTTCACTATTTTTTCACGTATTTTCACTATAGTAAGCACAGATAAAGTTTAAATATATAATTTTTAAAGGATAATGCACTATATGAGTTTTCCTTTTTTTGAGGTGGACTGTGTTTTGGAATATCGTTGGAAGAATATGGGACATTTTTTTGCATAAGATTTGTAGAAGAGTATAATAAAGACACAGACCAAGAAGAGAGAGAAGAAGAGATAAAAAAACAAAAAGAGAAAAAAAAAAAAAAAAAGGGGGGGGGGGGGGGGGTAGGGCTCCGGGGAGATTGCAGCAGAATCCAACCTCATATCGACAGAAGGGACTGGTCGAATCTCGATGGTTGGGCTATATATCCAGCCAGGGACGCCATATCCGCAAAAATTTTGTATGGGTATCCAATAATATGGCCGTCAATTTTTCATTAACCATTATGAAGTTCATCCGATTTTTGACAGCCTCAAAGCTGAGAAGAGGAGTCTTCCAAGCCCTCGCAATTGTCAACTTGGTAGCCATAAATAAGTGTGATGCCAGCTGCCGTTCAGAACAGAGGAGGCCCTCCATTGGTTTAAATAGAAGCGCTTCGTACGGGTTACGCTTAATGTCTGTGTGAAGAATAGTGCGGAGGAGGGCGTACACCCTGATCCATAACCTGCTTACTTTAGGGCAAGTCCACCAGATATGAGCCATGGTACCCAATTGTTGGCATCCACCAAAGCAAGCCGGGGAATATGTCGGGATGAAACTAGCTAAACGAGGAGGCGTATAATACCAGCGATAAAGAATTTTGTAGGCATTCTCAAGAATAATGACATTCCTAGAGCATTTAGATAATGCTTGGGGTCATGGTCCGCCAATCCTGTTGGTTCAAAGTCCCCCCCAATTCAGACTGCCAGCGCTGATGATAGGAGCGAACCGGAGGGGTTCTATAAGAAATGATTGAGGAGTAAATCAGGGAAATCAAACCCGGAGCATGGGGTCTATGTCTGCACTGGCTTTCAAAGGGGGACAGACGATACGGTCCCGAATGCGTGCGTATGAGTGTATGGACAAAGTGACGAAGTTGAAGATATCCAAAGTGTTCCCGCAGAGGAATATTATAAGAAGAGCGCAGAGTTTCAAAGGAAAGTATTCGAGTGGGAGATAGAAGTGAATGTGCATCGTAAAAACCATGCATTTGCCACCAGGCAAACTGGCTGGGATTGTCCCGACCTGGAGGGAATAACGGGGTCGTGCAATAGTCGGAAACAGCGGCAGGTGAGCAGAAATAAGGCCAGCGGAAAATTTGATAGAATCCCAGAGACGGAGCGAAAGCGTCGGGCTAAGGGCAGATGGACGTTTAGAAGTGGGAAGCCATGGCAAAGAGGAGAGCGGTATCGGGTGGGAGTCCATCATATCCATGACAGCCCAGAGGGGAAAGTGATGGATATGGGCCAAAGGGGCAATATTAGCCGCCAGATAGTAAGACTGGAGATTTGGGACCGATAGCACTGTTCAACAAATTTTTATTTTTTGCCAGTTTTGGAAACAAAAGGATCCATTTCTTAATGAATTTCACATTCTGAGTTCAAATACAACAATGAATTTGTCAATTGGCTCTAGTTTTTCTGTAAACGGAAAGTTTTCTACTATAGGCGTAATGACTACATAATGCACAATAATTATATAGATAGATGTCTTTCCACAAATATAAAGCAAGTGATATTGATACATAACAAAGCCTAAATGGCAGAATATATTGCATAGGATTACCAAGAAAAATGATAGCCATAAGCTAAGTTGAATCATTTTAATACTTAGGATTCTCACTAGTTTTGTCTTCAGTTTGTGTCGGTTTTGCTTCTCTTGGCTTTTCTCTTGTATTCGAGGAAAGGGCTATCTCTTACAACTGCACGTGACTACACGCTTCAGGTTCTTCCTCACTTGACTCAACCACGAAGGATTCTGGTGCTTTAGGAATTGGTAGCCCCTCTCCATGAGGAACTGGACGTATTGCCGATGGAATATTTGGATAGCGCACAGATAACTTTTTCTTCTTATTTAGCCCTTTTACAATTGGAGGCACCATACAAAAGTAACAATTACTAACATGATCTGTTGGCTCTCTCCAAATCATTGGCACAGCGAAAGGCATAGATGCCTTTTTTCCATTCAACCATTGCTCCAGTGCCGTCCCACAAGAATTGCAGCATATATGTGGTGCCCAGCTCTTGTCCTGGTCTCCTATCTTGCAGCCAAAATACAAGTTGTAGGCTTTCTTAATCATTCCTGTTATCCTCCTTTTTTGTGAGATAAAAGTTATTTCACCGCAGATATAGCAGAAATTATCTGCTTTATTCACACAAGTTCGAGGCATTACTGAGTAGCCTATATAAGCAGAAAACGAAATGTAAAGACGAACTCCAAGCAGCTACAGATACTGCAGCTTTTATGCAGTGAAGTGATGCAATTAAAGGCTAATATTGCATCATCTCAGTATACATGACATTTTCTATTGGTCACCAGTATCAATTGCGCAATATGCAGCTGAAGTTGCATCATCATTTTGAATGGCTTACGTCATTAGATGGGTGAATATATCATGGAAACTAGAGCCAATCAACATTTTTTAGGGTCAT